CTACGCTACGCTACGCACGCACGCACGCACGCACGCACGCACGCACGCACGCACGCACGCACGCACGCACGCACGCACGCACGCACGCACGCACATTGTTTATTTACATATGAATAAATATTTTATTTACCTCAAAGGGCTTTAGTTTTGCAGAATGAAATCTATGTAAAGCGTCGTGCATTCTAATCGCTTTTTCTTCAAGCTGTGGTGTTGTTGGAGGAAAGCTTCGCCAAAAATGCTTCAACAACTCACATGCGCATATATATACATTACTCAATTCCTTTTCTAAATCCTTCGGTATTAATTCTATATGTATTTAAACAATTATTTATTCAACTTGTATTTATTCAATGGATTGATTAAAAAATGAATGATTATAATTCTCATTGAATATACACACATATAAACACAAAATATTAGATACTTACGTCCAAGGCTTTCTTCTCGAAAACCTTTCATTAAGGATCCACCGGGTGTCAATTCACCTAAAGCTAACACCGCTGCAGCCGGACTAACTAAAGAAATCGCTGTTTGTCGTGGCAATGAATTACCAACTATCCAACTAGAGGCTTCTTTTTTTAAATGGTTTAATGTAATAAATAATTCTTCCGAAGTCGATTCTATACTTCCGTATCTTGGTATGGGTCCATGTAGATATCTGTCTATATGTGTCAGATTTAATGGTACTTCATCATTTATATTTATGTCACAGCTTGTATCGAGATCATCATAAGTTATTTTTTCTAGTATTCTACGCTGTAAAGAATATTTCAAAGGATTAAATAAATCATTCTCAATAATATCAAGTCCAAATTATAAATATATAAGGTAAAAAGATGTACCTTTTTAGTCTTTGGTCCATCATTCAATTCGTTATTTATAACTTTACTCGCACATGGTGTCGATCCATTTAATTGTGGTGGATTAATTTGCATCGATTGTTTGGCAGTGCTGGCTTTCATAACCATTATGCTATGTTGATTAAATCTTTTAATCATACTTTGATGAACGATATTTCCCGAGGGTTTATCATATTTATTATTTCCATAATTTTCATCCAGTGTTTGATCTTCAAAGGAAGTAATATCTACCAATGGATCATTTATTCCAGTTTGAATGTCTTTTTTAAGTTCCTGATCATCTATTTTGGCACATTCGGTAAAAAGATCTTTGGTCCCAGCATTAATACGGTCTCTGTGAAAATAATGCGATTGAAAAAATTTTGTCCAGAAATCAGATTCTGACATTTTATCAGGTACATTTTCTTGATGTTTCTTTTTAACAGCTGGGTATGTCTTAAATATACATTCTATCACATCGACAGTTAAATTATATTTTAATCCATTGCAACCATCAGTTTGTGGTTTAATATCTGCCTAAAAAGTTTCATCAAACATCATCATAATACCAAAAGTATCATTAGTCAATATGTTAGTAATTCTACAATTTGTATATTGCAAAAGTGTAAGTTGTCTTACCAGGAAAGCACTATTAACACCTATTTCTTGACGTTGAATTTTTTTGGCTTGGGTATATTCTGCAGCATGTTGCGACCAAAATTCTTCAGATGATATAACTTGCGGAATAACCAAATCACGATATAATTGAAGCAACATAGGATGTTCTTGAAGTGTTCTGAAAAGATATAAATTATTTATAGATTGTTTATCATGCATTCCAGAAGCATTAGTTTCAATCAAAGTATTTTGACTGGTTTACCTATTTTTTTCTTCTAATTCTTTATTAACTTTTTTTTAAATTTTGGTAGTAACTGTTGTAATAGCTCTTTTACATCATCACGGTCTTTAATTTGCGCTTCTTGTCCATTTTTATTTACAAAATGAAATGTAGATGATGTACCATCATGTAATACCACTTGCAGTTGTATTTTTGATTTTCCTTCTGGTGATATTTTTTGCACTGCAAAGAAAGATTCTTTCAATCATAGTAATTAATATATTATTGATATATGTGTATGTATGTGTATGTACACGCATGTGCGCAACATATATTTAAATTGATATATTTATTATATATTAATTTTTATTTTTATAATTTTTTGAACTTACATTTAATATCAGCATATTTATGGCTTACAGATACAGTATCCCTGTTATCCAGCATCCATGCTATTCGTTCATTCATCACATATAAAGTACCATCTCCTTTTTTATAGCGGACTTGACTCACTTGCATTAATACATCTTCTGAGGATGTAGTCATGGTGGGATATAATATGATACTTTTAAAAACAATGGATATAATCCTATAAAGTTATATTAAAAATTATATAGATATAATAGATAAGATTATTTTAATAAATAACAATTGAGAGAATCATAGCCAATTCTTCAGCGAGCAAAATCTTAGATACTAAATTTTCTATATGAAATGAATTCAAATAATTATATAACCAACTATGTGCCACTCTTTTTAGCAGATTTATAACATAGTGGTTCTATAACAATTCGATAATTAAATACTTTGATATTGATTTAAAATTTCTTTTATTATTCCCCTATAGGAAATATATAATAGTAAAAATACCCTAGTCACAAATCAAATCTAGATTGTTCACTCTCCAGGCAAGCATCTTATCCATCATTGAAGCTATTTTAATATATATTAATAAACTAAAATTATATAATAATAAACTATATAATAGATTATTTTAATATAAATTTATTTATATATATTTATATATTATTTATAAAATATATTTAATAATGTATTTTAATCAAAAAGATCACTACTTATTAGTTCAATAAAAAATGTTTTATATCAAATTGATTACAAAAATGAAGAAAGCAGACAGAAATGCGATCACTAATAATTCCTATAGATAAAGAAATTCCTAGAAAAGATCATAGAGGATAGAAACGAATAGGAATAGTCTTAAAATGTTACAACGTCCTTGAATATCGAGTGATTAACGCTCAAACGTCTGTGATAATTTTCAATACTTTTTTTATTAAAAAATGCATAAAAGATAGAAATCGGAATGAGAAAGATTGTTCTTGATATCAAGAAAACAATTCGCGACGCAGTATCAACTCCAAATGATGTAAAATGCGCCGTAATAAAATCCGTGATGATAGGATATGAGAGCGAGAGAGATATATATAGTCTCGAGTTCTCCATCGACAAACTATCTGTATTGCCGCAAAAATCAATTTTCCACGTATTTCAATTAAAAAAATCACACATTTGTCGTTTATAGCGAATGAAATTCATCATATAAATGTAGGTTTACCAATGACACGTCGCCGAAAGCCGCGGAACTGTGCAAAGACCCGTCGAGCGGCACGGCCATGTGCAGAGACACACATCAGTAGATGCATCGCGTGCGCGACCACAGACAGACCATCGATACGGACAACACCATCGACCTGCGGCGACTGACGGCACTAGGTTGCCCAAGTGACGGCTCAAGTCATCATTGCTTCCTGTATCGACTATTTACTCGTCGACCACTATTTTGTATATGTGTGCATTAAAAAATATACACGAATGAAATAAATAATTTCGTGTATTTACAAGCGAAAATGGTGATGTATCTACTTGCAAAAATTATCTTAAATTTTTCGAATCATGATATCGAGAAGAGCATTGTTGATGCTATGCATATAATCGAGCATGCGCATGCGCTATCATGCGAGGGCGCTGGTAAGCGCGAAATTACAACTTCTTACATGAAAGACAAAAAAAGAAAACAGATGTTCAAAAGAAGTAATTTTGAAAATAAATATGCTAATTATTTGGAATTAGTTGATCAATACAATCATACAACAATACGATCATACAACAATTTAAAAATAAAAAATTAATGTGAATGAAAATCACAAAAGACTTGGAAAAAATTTTAAGCACTCAGAAAACATATATCCAATACGAAAAACGTTTCACAAATGTTATGTCATTAATTATTTATTTAAATATTGACAGTATTATTAAATATAATGTTATATTAACACAGCTTTATTTTTTTCTTATTATCAGTATACATAAATATATATATATACATATAAACTTAAAAGCTATTACTTAAAAACTATTTGTATTGTGCAATTATAAATATAATGTTTCACATAAAGATTTTTTTTCTTCACCTGCAACTCCATCATTATCTTTATGATCTACTTCTAACCTAAACAACACGAAGTCGACTAAAAATTGACTGCAAGTTGATTGGAGAAGTCAAGAGTCAACTTTTAAATCACTCCGGATGTCGATTTATAGTTGATTAATAGACGGCGAATGAAAAACAGTCGATTGGCAGTCGACTTTCTACGTCGACTGTAAGTCAACTATAAGTCAATTGACAGTCGACTATAAGTCGACTATAAATTGACTGTATGTCGACTGTAAGATGACTATTACTTAGTTAATCAAAATTGACAAGTTACCAAATAGTCAATTTTTGGAAGGGTTAACCTTCCAAATTCACCTTTTTGTACCCAATTTATTGTACTGATGACTAAGATATTTTATAATCATCAGTGCTCAATAAGTTAAAAAAGTGGCACCTAAATCATCTAATAGTTGAATATTCGATAACTTAATTGTTTATATAAAAGTGACCTGAGTTTGTCGCTGGTTCATCGTAACCACTTCTTATCTTAATAGTGATTTATTTCTGATTTATTCATGATAAATTATAATTAAATATTTTTACACTGCGGTGACACCGGATGAGGTCACGAACTTGTTATTTGAGAAAGTCGGATTCGCCAAGCCTAAAGGGTTGGAACCCGTGCAGGATCATTGGGTGAAGGGTTGGCGTCAAATCACTTGTACTCTTTTTTCATTAAACTGATGAATTTATTTTAATAACTGCACAATTGTTTAACATTACACTTGGTCGTCGACTTATAATATTTTCATGCACAGTTTTTAAATGTCGTCGGGCGGCTCGGCGCGGCTCGCGTTACTCGGGCGGCCGACAACCGGTTATGATACTTGAGATTCTGTTATCGCGGCTCACATCAAACTCAGCAAACAGATTTTGCTAATATCTTGTACGACTCCGATTAGCTTCTATTTTTGACTCTGCTAATACCGTGCGTGATCCCGAACGACTTATAATTTTGACTCCGCGTTCTGGTTCTCGGGTAATCGATTATATAGCGATAATCGATGCCCGATCAACACTCTGCATCAATTGATTGCGCAGTATTGATTGATCAATACCGCGTCAGTTCGATCAGCAAATTAAGGAATTTTCGACTTTTCGCAATGACTCTATTCGACGCATTTCTGCAGTCTTTCGAAAGACTGATCGCAGCTTTTTGCGATTTTGCACTTTTGCCGTCTTTCGAAAGACTCTTTTAGAAATTTACTGTTATCATGCAGACTACTTTTATTCTTAGTTGTAGATCTATGGCTACAATATCCTCCCTCCCATTAACAAAAAAATGGAGATACGAGATTTTTTACAAAATTTTTCCCGATACAGTTCTTGTTATAATTGTTTATTTAAAATTATATACTTTCGCTTCTTCTAACAACGTGGTCTATGGTACGCAATTCGTTACTTCTACTTAGATTTACTAGAATTTGTTTGGAATTGCGTTTTTTTGTCTTTCTTTATTTTTATCGCCACTATTACAATTATTGCAATTACTATTATTGCTATTGCGGTGCCACTTATCGCCATTGGATAAACAAAGTGTTCGTAAGAGGTATAATCTTTCATTTGTGTCTATTTCACTATTTATTTGTTGTAATTGATTTGACAATTCCTTAAGATCAGTCGGGTTTTGTATAACTTTTAGTTTTATTTCTTGTATTTTATCTATTAACATTAAAATTAACCACATAGCACACATGACTATTTGTCGACTAATTGTCGACTTTTTGTAGTCTTCAAATCGACTTGTAAAGTCGACATTTAGCCGACTAAACATCAACTTTTCTGTAAAAGCTAGTCTAATCGCTACAACCATGTAAAAAAATATCGACTTAGGTCGGCTGCACACAGGATGCGGCAACGCGCCAACGCGCCAATGCAGTAGCCAATCACCATCTTGTTTTCTAATATGTACAAAATTATATATCAGAAAACAAGACGCTGATTGGCTACCGCGTTGCCGCGTTGTTGCGTGCCGCTTTGCCGCGTCCTGTGTGCAGCTGACCTTATAGTTGTCATAAAGTCAACATTAAGTCGACTGATATGGTTGATTTATAATCAACTATCGTTGGGACATTTGTCGACTATTAGTTGGCTATAAGTTAACATTTAATCTAACTAAAGTCAACTATAGACTTCTTCTGCCGACTTATAGTCGACTAATGGTTGACTTTGTGCTGTATTACTTTGGGTATTATTTAGTGTCGTAATATTATAATTTGGCAAGTATGTTTTTATTTCTTTTCCGCGTGTTATAGTCTGAGATTTATTATTGTATCTGTTGTAATTAGCTTATTATTATTTGATAATGTAATTTTACCGATTTATATAATAGTTTCTCGTATTTCCGCATCAAGAGACACGATGGTGTCTCGACGCCAAGTTCACGTGCAGCGAAGTTCGCGTAGAACGGCGGCGAGACGCCCGTGGCTCTATTTACGCGAGACTCTGGGATGAACTCGATCTACATTTTCATATCTCAGCAATGACTGCATTGATTAAGTTTTAATTACGCTTAATCAACTGAGTATCAAATTATATAAGAAAAGTGTTTTATTTTTTTTCTCCGTGTCCTACAAACTGAGATATCGCGACGTAATCGTGACGCAAAGTTCAAATTGGTAAATTTAAGAAACGTCCTGATTCTCGTCGTCGTGATTCTTCTTTTTCTGTCGCAAGAGGCGCTAATGAACGTCTTTGTATGACAGCTCTTGCAGCACTCATTTTTTTGATTTGATATGATATCTTTGACAGATATCTTTCGTGCGAAGTTGTACATATTGATTAATAAAAAAGAAGATATAACGTATGTCACATATGATAGTAAATAATATTGTAATATTATAATATTGTAAGTAATATTGTAATAATATATAATACATTAAAGAAATAGAATAAGAAATAGAAATAGAATTAGATTTTTACAACAAATTATTAATATTTATTAACAATTATTAACAAATTGTTACATCAAACATAAATAACATAAAAAACATAACATAAAACATAAATTAATAACATATAACATAAAACAACATAAATAATATGTTATACGTTATATGTTGTATGTTGTAATTATATGTTATGTTATATGTTAACGGCATTTGAAACTGCAAAAACAGTTAGTTCAAAAATATCTACATAATGAATTGCAAAAACAGTAAGATGCATCTCAAGATGACCCAGAAAATGCAATAGGTGTGCAAAATATAGAGGCGGGAAGCCATGCAGGATTTTAAAGATCTTGGAGCTAAAATTAAAGAAGAGGATATTTCTGAAATGAGAATAAAATTAAACACGGATCAAAAGAGAGTATTTGATAGAATTATTAGCAGTATTAAATTAAATAAATCAGTATTACGATTATATTAGGTGTACAAAAAAGTTCTGAGCTTTAGATTTCATACAATCGAAATAACAATTTAAATTTTATATATCTTCCCGCCCTTTTGCGGTTTTAAAGCGTTGACATTTGGCCTTCTAAAATGCCATACGGTTTGACATTTGATGCACATAACTTCAAAAATCAGTACTGTTCACGATGGCAATAACAAAAGAGCATATTCGATTTTCCATTTTCCACTTCGCGTTTTATCTGAAGAAAAATGCTGCTGAAGCCATTGCAATGATTTGTGCTGTATATGGAGAGAACGCTGTAAGTCATATTACATGTAAAAGATGGTATCAAAAATTTCGCCAAGGAGATTTCAGTCTTGAAGATGAACCGCGTGCTGGACGCCCTCAAAAGATTGAAACGGACGAATTGCGAGCACTGTTGGATATAAACTCTGCGCAAACTAAAAAGGAGCTTCCAAAACAGCTTGGCGTTACGCAGCAAACCATTTCCGTACGTTTACATACGATGGGAAAGGTTCAGAAGGAAGGCAGATGGGTTCCGCATGAATTGTCCGAAGATAACAAAAATCGTCGGCGTGACACTGCACTCATTTTGCTTTCAAAGTTCCGGAAAAAAGATTTTCTGCACAAAATCATTACAGGCGATGAAAAGTGGATTCTTTATGATAATCCTAAACGTAGAAAATCATGGATTGACCCTGGTCAACCTTCGACCTCAACGCCAAAACCCAATATCCACGCCAAGAAGGTTTTTCTGTATCTGTTGGGATTGGAAAGGTGTATTGTATTACGAGTTGTTACAACCGGGTGAAACAATCACGGCAGACCGCTACCAACAACAATTGACCAATTTGAGCGATGCATTAGAAGA